CAGTTAACTAAGATCTCAGGGTAGTTATAAAGACAGTAAAACTATACTGGCAGAATATCAAAAGTAGAATTAATTACCTAAGTACGCCTCAATATGCTACATTACGGGAGACTTGTCAATAAAATTTATTGAACTCTAATTATAAATAGCTATATTCTGTTATATTTAATATAGTATAATTAGTATTTATACTCAGTTCTTATTAAGAAAACTACTAGCTATACTAAGTTCTATAAAGAAATAAAGAGACTGAAGATAAATAAGAATAGAATTACTGATAATATATACTTTATTAATTATAAGTTTTCTTATATATTTACTTATATTATTTTTACTATTATATCTATATTTCAAAAATAGTCTTCTATATTTTTTTTCTTTCCTCTAATCTTATTAATATATTTCTAAAGAAAATTATAAAAGTCTTAGTCAGAATTTATCTCAAAAGTTAATTAAGATTTCTTGATTTTTTCTTTTAACTCAACGAAATATTCTTTAATAGAATTAAAATCCAGAGAGTAAAATAGTAAATATAGTATTTTTACTTCTATCTTAGAGTATAATTATATAATCCGGGGAAAGTAATAGAATAATATATTATCTATTATTAGAATAGATTTAGATTTAGATTAATATCTACAGTACTGAAGAAACTATTCAATAAAATCTTTAAAAACTGTAGTATTGGTTAAACCCTTAAAAAATATAAGATATTATAATATTATCTTGAGTATATACAGACAGTATCTAGTAGTATTTATCTCGATAGAATTTAGATACTTAGACTGGGATTATATTAAATAGAGACTAGTCTATCTATCTATATTCTATCTATTTATTACAGCTAGACTTATCTATATAAATAAGATAATATAAATAAAACTTAGATAGTTTATATTAATAGAAATTCTGTAAAAGAGAATTCTGCTCTTTTACCTTTTGCTAAGATTTCTTTTTTATTTAATCTTTCCAGTTAAAGGCTTATTTAATATTTAATATAGATAGTAATATATTAAATTTATTCTATAGAAAGATAGCTATTTTATTAATATAAAGATCTGACTTTTCGAGAAAATAATTATAAAATATATTAAATATTGGATAAATAATACTCGGTTATCGGCCGGTGTAAACTAGGGGAGATCTGGCCGTACTAAATAACTGTATATTTTTATAAATATTTATAATTGACTGCTAATTATATTTCGCAATCTTGGCTATTTATACTATAGTTAGTTTCTGTTGGCTGAGAATTATATAGATAATAAATTTACACTGTCAGGGCTCAATATTCTGTACTATTTTATAATAGACGGTATCTTAATAGTATATATCTGAGTTCGGAGACTATAATTGATAGACAGGATACTGTTATTATATATTATATTATATTACTCTGAGATATATCTTTGTTTTATATTATACCGCCTGCTATCAGTACAGAAAGATAATATATATCTACCGTATAAAGCTTAGCGGGCCTTGGTATTTAGGGCTTAAAAGCAAATATATATATATCGGATATAGAAAACAATTTCGGACAGATCTGTACTGATATTAATTGAATTTCTATAGAAAGACAGCTGCTGAAATAGAAAGTACTGTTTGATAAAGATAAGCAACTGAGGCTTGAGATATATATTAATTATTTTGGTGATATTAACTCAAGAACAGATAAAAGAGATCCTTTATCCGCAACAGTGGGAATATAAAAAGAGCGGGAGACTCGGATTAATACAGAGTACTCTACCGGACAAGCTTCAGTATAGAGATAGGTTTACCGAGTGATATGCTGCCCTGGTCACCCTTGCCACTATTACAGTCAATTCTATTAGTTAGACCCGGTGGGAAAAAAGTATTACAAATTTTTAAGCCACTATATAAGAAGTCTTGCTGCCTATATAGAGAAAGATAGTATTCTGGAAAACTATAACGATATTTCTTGTAACATCTGAGAAACCTTGTATACTGAGAAAGAAAGAGATCGCGAAAGAAAACAGAAAACTTCTAGTTCTAACTCCACAATAGGATCAATAGGCCAGCCAATCAATATCTATATCCTCCCGGTGTATCCGTCCCAGCCGCTAGTATTGTTCTCTAACAATACTAAATCACGAGTCCCGCAGGCTGATTCTTTTGAAATCTCTAGATCTCTAGAAGACTTGATAGATAAATATATAGACTGGTAGCTATCACAAATAAATACCGATCTATTCAGAGATAATATCAAGAAGGCCCGTGACATAATCTTGGAGAATTGTCTGGATATTAAACAGATTTATTGTGAAATGGAGCCCGAATTTTTTATTAAGCGGGGTATTAAGCTAGGTGTTGTCCGCAGATTTGTCAGCGAGATTCTTTTGTGGGTCAAAGACAAGGAACAATGCGGACGAGGATAGAGTGGCTTGATATCTCTATATAATAATTGTTAAGTATATACAATGAAAAGAAAGATATTATAATAGATGAGTAGATGTATTTATTATCTCTTTATCTTATAATCCGGTAATATACAAGCTACTACAGTTATATGCGGATATTTTGGGTCTGTCTTGTATCTTTTCTCTAGGACAATCTTTAGTCTTGCCCGGGGGTCTAGATAGGTTTCCTATTCTACAAACTATGTTTTTATATATGTTTGAGGTAACTATTATTGCTGCGCTTCGCCAGTACAGTAGCGGTTGGATATATAGCTGAAAATAATGCGATCTTATAACTTAGAGTTAAGATAAGTGAGCAGGCTCTTAAGATTATCTAGGAAAATGTCTAATTGGGGTTTTCTGCGGTAAGTATCCTAATATATTAAATAGTCAAGAGTACTGATATTTGCTCTTCATCTCTATTTATCTATAGTATCGCTGTAGAGACTGCCAGATGTCTGTTGTCCTCCAAATGTTTGACAGCTACAAACTTGGTATTTGTGAGAATATAGCTATACTGTATATTATGCTGATGTATATAGAAATTTACTTGAGCCAGGATCTGCTTATATTCACGCTGTACTGTCAAGGCTTGAGAAAACTGTATCGAAGACTTCTATTTCTAAGATATCTTCAGGTCCCCCGGAGCTCGGTTGGGATAAGAGATAGGGTTTCCTTCAGCTTCTATAAATGCAGTATCTGGTCGATATAAATTAATAATATTCGCTGTACTTCCTCTATCAATTGTGATTGGCAAAAGTTGCTGTAATATAAGTGCAGGAGCAAGTTGTTCAAAGGCAGCCTGAAGTAACTGTCTAATACGAGGCAACACCAGTTTAGTAAAGCAAAGATAAAACTGAGGCTTGTCTTTTATCGCAGCAGGGGGAGATGTGAAAGGGTCGATTTGAATCTGTTTTGATTGTAGTACAGTACTATATTATTGATTGATTGTCGAGTAATTGAACTCGGGCCAAGAAAGTATGTCGGTGATATTATCTGTGCTATATCGGGGATTAGTTGTGTTCTGTGACGGGGCGGTATTCTCAACAGATATCGGTGGAAGACTAATGGAAAGATACCGGAGCAAATTTTGATTTATTTTTCAGATATTATAGTCTCAAGATGACCCAGTATAGAATTCTATGGTTGGATCTGTCAGCAAGACTGCGGGGTTCAGCTTATATTGTCTTGGTATTTATGTGGTTGTAGATCTGTACCTAATTAATAAAACGGTATACGGAGGTGGCCAGAACTGTATATATCTGAGACAACTTCTGTCGATGTATATGGAAGAGAGATATTCGATAATATGTCTGGATTGACTTATATTCCGGGTAAACTAACCCTTACGATACGAAGAGTCAAAGTATCTGAAATATCTCAACAAATCTATTACAACGGTTCTACTATGGCCGACCCGATTAGTGTCGTTTCCGCCCTTCTGATAACTGTGATGCTAGCTCTTGAAGTAACTACGAAACTCTATCAGACAGTTAATAGCTTTAAATCGAATACTAAAACTGTTTGTAAGTTTCGGAATAAATTGCACGATTTAGATAGACTGCTGTAGACTCTCAAAAACTCGACCGATAACTCTAATCTTGATCTTGGTGTTCTCGATCAACCGCTTAGTAGGCAGAGTGGTGTATATCTATTGTTTAAGATATTGGATAAAAGCCGCACAACGCTTCCACCACAGTTAGGTCTTCTAAAAGATGATTCTGCCATTGAAAATACAAAGGAGAAGTTGAAAGATTGTTTACAAGGTATTCGAACAGGGCAGCAGTCCTTGGTTCTTGATAGCCAGATTGCTACGGAATCTGACACAGACGAGCTTCAAAGTATGGAAGAGGAAAGGGTTAGCGCTCAGGAATGCTTAGCTTTGTGTGAGCTGATTCTTGAGATTTTGGATCAGTCACAGCCTAGCCTGTCCGAGGACTCAGAGAATACCCTCGAAAGTCTTGAGGAAAGGCAGGTAGCGAGTTCTAAGATACGAATTATCAAGGAAATTCACCGATCCGATGCTTCTTCAATCTTTGAGACGGAATTCGATGGCGATAAGTTTGCCATGAAGCTTGTAAGTAGATGATCACTTATACTGGCCGGTTTTACTCACATTTTAGTTTCACAACAATGGTGATCCAGGATTTGCCGAGAATGGTCGAGATTTAAATCGATTCCGCTGTGAGTTGAACGCTTACGAAAACCTTAGGAAATACCACGTTTGCAAACAGGGTGTCGTTCCGTACTTCTATGGGTATATTGATCAAGTTGATCCTTTTGCGTTCCAGCCGGCTCTCCAACATTTTGTTAACGATAAATTCCCTCCTAAAGCAATACTACTCGAATATCTTCCAAATACCGAAAGTTTGAATTGCAAGAATTACTCGGATGCCCGCTACCAGCATGCGATAGATGGTATGAAAAAGATACACAAAGCCCACGTTCACCATCAAGATATATACCCCAAAAATATTCTTTTTGTTCCTGGAACCCCGGAAAGGGTTGTGTGGGTCGATTTCGATGTTGCAACAACTTTCCCAAGCGTCGGGCCGACGAAGAGCGGCGTAGTCAATATGAGGATGCCCTTGTTGCAGAGTTTGGTGAATTCTTGGTTTGTCTAGTTTCAATTCTTGCTAAGAGAGAAAACTAACTTTTTCGTTGTCTAGCGAGAGGATCAAAAGCAGGGACTTCCTCCAAACACAAAGTTTTATTAGTGCTCCAGTACAGTGATTCTTGAAATCGGTCTGACCTTTGAAACACTTCAATTGCTTGTTGGCCCCACCGCCAAGCACTTGGCAGAAGTGATTCACTGAGATATTTTTAGCCTGCATTGTACTGTACCGTAATTATGCAAATGTTATGCGCAGAGAGTCACATGACTGACAGCGGCTCAGATAACGACAACAGCCCACTGAGTGGCAAATTCCCTTACTCCTTTAGTTTCGAGCAATGCATCCACCAAAAACAAACTGCGCGTCAATTCTATCCTTGTTTCAAGCTGTCAAGACTCTATTGAGTTTCAATAATAAATCAAGATATTCGTCCATCCGTTATATGGCAGCGCCAACCCATCGCTCCTATTTCGCGCCGAGCACAGTAGGAACACAAGTTTTAGAGAAAGCTCGGTGGTCGACGAAATGATATGCCAAGCAAGACAATATCATGACTTGTTCGCTATTGTTCACCAATCTTGGCGCTCCGCCGCTCTGCTGCCCTCTTATGCCCTCTTATGGAAAGAAGTTGAAGCATCATGAAGATTTTATAGTTTCGGATGGCCTTGAAGCGTGCGTGATATAGTGGTTGTCAAAGTCGCTGGTCGGTGGCCTGCTAGAAGGGGAGACGTTTGTCTCCACTCGCCCAACCGACCTTCAGTATAGCGTCCTTCGCAATAAGGTACAATGAGTTCTGCTCGTGGAGCGTGACCGCGCCTTCAAGGTGCTCCGTGTCGACCACAAGGGTTGAAGAACCTTTCTCCCGAACCTCCGCAGCTTCTTCAGCGCCCAACCACTTCAGATAGTACTTAAGATCACTTGAACCTGTGGCATGCTCGATCTGGATTTTCAGCGAGCGCAGGGAGTCAACTATGTAGACAAACGACGATTCTCCAGGGGTTAGACATCCAAAGTTCTTCGATCCTTGGACCAATGTGGAATACTTTAACTCATTCCCTATTGACTTCGCGCAGTCATGTGATGGGGACGGACTACCCGGTGGCATATCCGCCATATTCTCCGTACGTGGATCGCTGACACCGACAATCTTGCTTGAATCAGGTAGCCGCGAGATACGGCTGCCCGCTCTTGTTGCCTTGGACGATATTGAAGCCCTTGTTGTTGTTCTAGATAATGGAAGTGTGAACAAGGTACTTTCATTTGGGTCTGGATAGATGACTTTCTGGTGAGTTGACAATAGCGCGACACAGGTCTCTCTGAAATGGTCACCTAAAGCCTGAGAAAATCTTTGCTCTAGCTCGGCAAGTTGTGGTATACAAGGTATCCGCCAACCTGGATATAGTCGCCCGTGAGATTTTGGCATGTATATCTTCTGATACAACTGGAGACATAAGTTGCAAAGAAAGCAGGCATCCTTGCTCGAGCAGATTACTCGTGGCAACAATGTCGGGTGTTTCAATTCGCAGTGGGCTATCAACTGGATCTCGGCATGGATTTTTGCCTCTCTTAAGGTTCGTATGACCTGGCTAGAGTACCGGTCGATAGCTTGCTGCTGACTATTCTTCAATATTGCGCAAATTTCTCTTAGGAGCTTCTGCTGACTACCCCTTGGGCTGGCTTCGGCGATTTTGGATTGCAACTCAGGAAAATAACCCTTAATTACAGGAGAAGCAAACGCCTCCTCAGGGAGTCGAACGGGGATTGTTCTCATTGCGCGAGCCAACGGAGATTTCTTTGCCGTACGGTACAGATACCTAGCGACTTCCCAGTACCTGCTGACCTTGCTAACAATGTTGAGCAAACTTCTCCTTGCGCTGGGGCTCATGTCCCGATTTGGGATGATGCCAAACAGGTCAGAGAGTCCCAAAATATGCTGTAGTTGATGAATGCCTTCCACAACCTCCACTAAACGTGTATCGACCTGATATTGGGACCATGAGTCCAGGAGTTTCTCGACTTCCTTCGCTCTTTGGGTGAAGTTGTCCGCGGTCTTTGATAGGTTTCCGTCATTCAACTTCCGCCTAATAGTCTTCACAGCTAGTAGGGCTTCCTGAAGCGTGCCTTTCAAGGGGCGTTTTGTTGAAGTTTTCGATGTACAGGCCATCCGCAACCGAGACAGTATGCGCGATGAGCACATAGAAACCACGGCAGTAAGAATTTGATTCCCTGTCTCTCGATAGCGAGTTGACTCTGGTATTGTTAGCATTCTTCACGAGCAAAAACTAGACACTCACTAGAGACAGTCGCGAGAATTGCGAATATTCGTTCGAAGCCCTGCTTAATATAGCGAATCGTATCCTCTCCATCATTATAACTCGCTTTATTCACGGCGAATATGACGTTCAGGCTACCTGAATCAGTATCCTCCTCTAGGCATAAAGCGGGGATATGTTCGACGTCATCTTTGCTATGTGCAATAAATGCTAGTGTGCTGGCTAGTTTACGCTCTGTATCAAAAGATAATGTAGAGCGCCTTCCGGAGACGGTTTGACAATGAGTGCGGTTCCTCGATGGTGGCGCCGGTACGTTTCGAAGTAGGTAGGATATAGCAATGTTCTCGGCACAAACAATTTTGATATCGGAGATTGTGGACATTGAAAGATTGATATCTTTGTAAGGAATTGGAAGCAAAGGTATACGGTAGATGGTAGCTGGAAACTTGAGTCCAAAGACTCATGAGTTCTATCCCCATCCCTTTACCCCACCTTGTGTAACCACGAAATCATTGGCGCTTGCTCAAGTTCATTTCGATTGGTTACTGATACCGCAACTGATGCCCAACACGCATTCTTGAGCAGGGCAACTTTCCCTTGTCAATGAATCCATAACATGCCGCTCTGCTGTGGTTGCAAACAGCTCATCTTTTGCCTATTGTCTCATATATCATCTTGCGAGCTGTCCCCATCTCCAAGAAATACCAGGTTTGGCGACCACTGCCAAGTACACCAGGATGGGCATAGTTATTTCTGTCAATTTACCCCCCACCAAGTGTGGATCATCGCACGAGTTGTTCAGCATCTTGGAATGAGGCATATTGTTCTTACTAGGATCGATCAAAAATTCAAGTAATGTACATATATATCAAATACTACATAAACTTTATGTTTTTCATGACAAGAATATTACAGCTGCCCTCAGTTTAAGTCGCTCCGCTCAATAAAAGAATCACGCTAAGTTCTTGGCAGTGGGACCAACAGACAATTGATAAGTGTTTGAAGGTCAGACCGATTTCGAGAATCACTGTAAGCTGAACAGGAACACTACTAGCTAAGGACTCGTGTCCAGTACTTTTAGCTGATAGCTGATATTCCTAACCCAAAGCTTTCCTCCCACGGACATAATAAATATAGAATGTGTTCTTGCTAAGACAGGAAGTTATATTCGTCAGCCTGGCAGAGTAAACCATTAGCCTAGTTATATTTCTTCCTTTATAGCAGTGAATTTTTCTCAGGCTGTGGGACTCACCGTTCATAATTTCGCCGGAGTACTGTAAAAGCTCTGGGAGATTCATTAGCGGGGAACGCAGTGCGGTACAGACATAGCTTACTATACTTATCTGCTTCATACCTCTTCAATAGCCAGACCTGCGTTCCGGAAATGACCCTCCGCACTTGCTTTTTTCGCTCCTACAACATCGACACACCACTGAAGAAAGAAATCAAATCCTTGGTTGGGATTGTCCTTATAATATTGTTAATTTTGCCGAATAAATACTTTCAGCTCCGCGAAGAATTCCTCGACAGAATTCAGATCTGGTGAGTACGGCGGTAAGTATACTAACTAACATCCTGGTGTAAATATATTTCTTTTATTCTCTCAGAGCTACACAGACGCGTCCGAAATGTCCTTCCATCAGTTATACATTCAGGTTGATTTTCAAGCCCTAATCCCGGAAGTTTAAATATATTTATAGTTATATTTGCGGCGTATCATTGGATATCTCTAGGAATAGGGTTTTATGCTAACCGAATACGGGAGAGAACTAGGGTTTGAAAACCAACCTGAATGTACAACTGATGGAAGGACATTTCGGACGCGTCTGTAGAAAGAGGCATTGTCTATAACAAATATAGATTTGGGAGCAGGGTACCTTCCGCAATAATAAAGTAGCTTTTCAATAAAGTTCTCAAAGACCAAGGCATCATTTAATCCTTGAAAGATGCGAGAAAGAATAATACCGTCTTGGATATATACTGGAAGAATATGATATCACTGACCCCAGTAGAACTTGGTAATCTGGACAGGTATAATTCTACAAGACCAGCCTGTCCTTCTGACCCCTATCCGTTTATCGCATCCCGATTCATCTACAAAAACAAACTGATTAGAGTGATAATGTAGTATTCTATCAAAATATTCCTCTCGCAAGTCAGCATTTTGTTTACTTGCCCTCTGCTTGGCTTTCTTCTTAGACCATCCTTTGTATACAAGAGCACGCCGAACGCTAGATTTTGTTACTGCTTTGTCAAACACATCCTGGATAAACTCGACCATCTCATATAAGTGTAGATTTGGTTACCCAAGTAGATACTGTAATCACATAGAGATTGGAGCATGATTGGGGTAAGGCTTCGCGGTCGGCCCCCTTTCTTTAGAGGCGCATTCACATTTCCAAGTATGCGCTTGTTGGCACGCAGCCTTGTGATTGAACACTCGTGGCAGTTAATAACTTTAGACATCTGAAGCGCTGAGAGCCCACTACTTGTGATCATAATATCGGCGACTTCTTTCGACGCTTCGTCGAGATTAGGTGCGATTTTGGTGGGGGTGATGATCTTGACATACGAACCCGATCAACAGATCTGCAGCGGAAGGAGATCCTAGGGTATTGCCACGTCGCCCTTGTAATAGGAAAACATGTTATATAACACGTCAGCGTAAAAGAATACTCCGATATTATACAGTACGGTATCACACAAATCATATTTACCGGAGCTCATCCTAAAATAATTTAGCGTTTCTTGGCATATGCGTCATAAGTGGTTGGAGTTGTCGAAGACCCTGGCGCCAGTTTTAAATTTTAGTGTATGTTGTACATTGCACCGGCCCGAGGTCATTTTCTTTGGTGTATATGAAGGCAATGTTGCTATTGTATGAATGAGTGGAGCAAGACAATATTTATCACGGGTGATACGCTAATACATGCCTCTGGCATAGTACAACCCCCTCCAAAACTAGTCAGAGTGCATGGGCGCGCGACGGTGGCTACTTGACAGGGCTGTACTAATTTCTACAAGGTTCAACCGTTCAATGGTGAAAGGCATCTACAAACCATAACCATATACTGTTCTTAATAGGCCAAGAGACATGACCCTATACAGTCATTCTCGAAATCTGTTTGACTCTCGTACTTTAATATTTGATTTTCAGGACCCACTATCAAGTGCCTAATATGGTTATTATAGACCCTTGTCTAGCACGCCTTATCGAAAGCAGAAATACAAGATAGAAAATTACAGAACAATAAGAGCTGAAAACAGCCGCAGGATTACTAAAGAAATAGTTATAGAGAGTATCTAATAAGACAGTTAATAGAAGACTGATATCAGTACTATTATATAATTAATAAATATATCAGTAATATAATATAATATATCAGTACTACAATCGGAATATATCAGTAATATAATATAATATATCAACAATATAATATATTTGTTACGCCCGGGGATCTGTCCAAGGACTCTGCGACCAGTTAGCGATCTTGGTTAGAGGCGACTTACTCGGTTGACTAGAATCTACTAGTGACTGATAATAATAAGTGATCCGAATAGTTCGAATGGTAACGATAAGATTAGAACAAATAGTCCAAGATAAGAAGATCAGGCCAATTGAATATATATACTCAATTGTTGAATAGTATAAACAAGTCGAGCTGATATAAATCTTGAAAATAGCTATTGAGTAACTAAGTAGATTGATTACAAAGAACTAAACTAAGTATATAAACAAGTATTCTTATATATCCTGAGTCTATATACTATTCTGTATACTATCTGTAATATCTTGTGTGGTCTCTCGAGATACTATACTATATACTATTTATAGTACTTCAGTTGATACTTCGTCACGTGATATCTGTGGGTGTCTATTACAGTTCTAGATATACTATATAAAGAGTATATCTGTAGTCACTAGATTGATATATATTTTTCGGTGTTACTATACTAATATCGAGAGATATTATTATTATAGCTTGTCTAATATTGAATTCCTCAATATTATTATAGTCACAATATTTCTTGTTTAATAATATTTATGTGCCGGAATATTATTGCCTGGGTAATATTCTGCCGTTGATAATGTTTACCGCTCTTAATGTTACTGTAGCCAGTATATTATCTGTTAGTGCCGCACTAGTCCGGGGTCCGTAACAATATTATAGCAGTGATATAATAAGAATAGAATATATAAGAATATTTATTTATATATTTAGTTTAGTTCTTTATAATTAATCTATTTAATTATTTAATAGCTATCTTTAAGATGTATATTAGCTTAATTTATTTATACTATTTTATAATTAAATATATATACTTAATTAATCTAATCTTTTTATCTTAAATTATTTATTATAGTATTTTTAATATTGTTTAGATTACTTTAGATTACTATTATAATTAATTACTAGTAGATTTTAGTCAATTAAATAAATTATTTTTAATTAAAATTATTAACTGATCGCAGAGTTCTTAAATAAATATCTAGATATAATATATTAATTATCAGTCTATATAAGTCGAATCTTGATTAGATTTAAAATATTATTAATATATCTTCTTAATTATTTAGCAGTAGAAAAATTTCAGTTAAGAATACTCTATTAAAAAATATTATTAAATAGTTAATTAATAATACTAGAGAATAAAATATTAAAATTAAAAAATTTTAAGACTAAATTTACTGAAGCTAAATAGATCTAAAATAAATATCAGAATTATATTATACAGCTCGATATTTAAGTTAAAGTATTAATATTTAAGAATATAATTAGAAGAG